GGAGGTCAGGGCTTGGGGGAGGTCAGGGCTTGGGTTTGGTGAAGTTAATTGGGGTTGGCCATGTTTAAAGGAGTTGAATTAAAATATAATGTGGGAAGGGCCATTTTGGGTCAATTTGGGTCAATTCATGGTTTTGGGTTGGGTTCACCCCTCAAGGAAGGCTTTGGTGCAGAGGAGAATAAGATGGCTCAACTGAAACAATGTGGAGAGGTCTCCATCCAAAGGATTTGGGATAATCACGGGTTTAAGTGTGTCATTAAAAGGGTTAAAAGAATCTTAAGGGGGCTTGAAAGTGTCTTGGCCTCTTGCCACCAATAGTATGGTGATGTGGCATGGCTCTCATGGCTCGCCAATGGCTTGGGAGTGGCTTCATGGCTTGTCGTTGGCTTGGTCAACTTTCATGAGGAGGGATTTTTGAATTTATGAAATATTTTGGTGAATTTTGGTATGATTCTTGATTTGTAATGATTTTTTGATTTTGAAATTAGGACTTTAAGAATGATTTTAATCAAATGGATGATGAAGAGAAAGAATTGTCATGTGGTCTTTGGATTTAGGCTTTTGAAATTAAATGTGGTGGGTTTAGACTTTTGAATTTGAAATTGATTTTGGGCTAATTGAATGTTGAGTATGGTGTAGGAATATGTCATGAAGGCTTTGGAAGAGTTTCAAGTGATTTTGAATTGATTTAGGGGGCTAATTTAGTGGATTTAGGCATAAGCGAGATTTAGATTTTGGGCCAAAATTAGGGCTTTTTGATTTGGGTAAAATTGGGCTTGTAATTAGGTCAAATTGAGCTTGAATTTTGTTTAGATTAGGATTGGAGATGCTGAATTTTGATTTGGAATTGAAATTGGTGTTAATTTGAGGACATTTATGTCTTTAAGGGCAAATTGGGGCATTGGGGCCTCTGGTCAAATTAGATTAATTTAGTCAAATTGGGTCAAATTAAAGATAAAAAATTGAAATTGGGAATATTTGGAATGATTTTGGAATTTTTTGAATTTTTAGGTCATGAGGGGCATTTTGGTAATTTTGGCAATTTTTGGGGTATTTTGGCAATTTGGTCATTTTTGTGAATTTTGGTCAATTTAGGTAGTGGTGGGGTTTTGAGATAATTTTTGGATAAAGTTGGGTATTTTTAGATTTTTTAGCAAAGTTTTGGTAATTTGATGGTTTTGGGTCAAAATGGGCCAACAAGACAGGAAGCCATACCAAACCAATAGGAACCATGTGAGGACTCATTTTGGATGCTCAATATGTTGGCTCTAACCCTTGTAGCCAAATACTAGGGGTATAGGGTCATTCATATGAGCTTTCCAAAAGGAGTCAGGAAACCAACTTAAGTCATCATAGAGTTTGGGGTAAGTGAAAAAGTGTAGTGTGTGCCAAGTTAGCCCCACCAGAACCAGATCACCCAGGGTTAGTCCTAAGGTCTGACCATCATATAAGGGACTCCCCTTGAGCTCCTCCATATTGACCCCACCTACTAATTGCTAGAGGTTAGGACCAGCATGTGAAACTTCAAGTTGAGTAAAGAAGTATTTGGAATTTCTAATGGTGAGGGTTCCTTTTCTAGTTCTCTAGGAATATTCAATTATGAAAGTCCAATGGCTAGACCGTAGGCTACTAAAGAAGAAAAAGATAGACCTCAACAAAAAATGAGGTCAACAAAAGTTAGCATTATCTTGATTGTTCCAATTTCCCATTATCTCAATTGATTCTCCATATTTCTAATAGCAACACTTTAGCGTTGTAAATGATTACCCATTTGCAACACCAGTTCTTCCATAAGCAACTTCTTTTCCTTAACTTGTTGATTAAATCCAGAAAGATAAGTAGGTCTAAAGTTAGCACTATCCTGGTTGTTCCAATTTAAATATGGGATATTGGATATGTTGATAACATTTATAGTTTCTAATGATATATGAGAATCAATCATTTGTCTTAATGAATTTTCTTCAACCATTTGGGGTGTTGGTGAAAAATGCATTCCAATTTGGTCTATCTTCTTAAATAATGCTGCAACTTGACATGCAATCATTGAAATAACATCATTATCATGAAGACTGGCTACTCTCTTAGGATTTACCCTATCAAAAGGCCATTGAAAATTATTTGTAGTCATTTCTTCAATTAATGAATAAGCTTTATCAAAGGGTTTAGACATTAATGAACCTCTACCAGCAACATTTATAATAGATCTAAGGGATCCTACTAACCCATTATAAAAGTTTTGGATGATTAACCAGTCTGGCAAAGCATGATGTGGACACTTTCTGAGGGGTTCCTTAAATCTTTCCCAAGCTTCATATATAGATTATCCTTCATACTGAGTAAATGAAGTAATATCATTTCTGAGTTTCACAGTTTTTGAAGGTGGAAAATACTTAGTCAAAAAATTTTGAGCTAAGTCTCCCCAAGTTTTAGTAAATTCAGGTGTTAACGAATTTAACCACATCTTAGCTTTATCCCTAAATGAAAAAGGACAAATTCAAAGTTTGAAGACATCATTTGATACGCCAACATATTTTAATGTAACATATATAGCATACAGTTCTAAAAACTAGCTAAATGTAAATTAGGATCCTCAGATTGTGTTCCTCTAAACTGATTATTTTGTATTTATTATTTTGTATCATTTGTATAATTATATGTTTAAGTTTAAATGAGTTAGCCTCTACAACGGGAGTTTGAATGTTTAAATAAATTTCATCTACTGTAGGTTTTGCATAATCCCTTAAAGATTTTTGAAAAGATGATGTTCATTTTCAATAGTTAAAATTTCAATATTGTTTTGCGATGTGTTTGTCATTT